ACCTCAAAACTATAGTCAAGTGACAAATGGCAAGATGGGTCAGTAGGTATAGACTTTTACAGCCAATCCTGATGGACCTAGTTCAATCCCAGGACTCATATATTCATATGGTGGAAGAAGAGTCCCAACTTTCCCAAGTTGTTCTCTGACCTGAAAAACATGTTTGTCACTACATCACTACAAGCTTGATCTCTCTCTCTCTCTCTCTCTCTCTCTCTCTCTCTCTCTCTCTCTCCTCACACACACACACACACACACACACACACAAATATAATAAATAAATGTGGTATGATTTTTTAAATATTTGGATGAAGTATTAATGTGTTTTGTGTATGCATTATTCCTGCTTAATGTCAAAATACTATACTACCTGGGGCAGAATGAATGAAGATGAAAGATACATATATAGCAATATTGTAAACATAATCCTATATTCAAGTAATTAAACATTTCAGTGGGTACATTTGCAAGAAGATGAAGATATTTCTAAAAGTTACTATTGAAGGAAAACTAGGGAAGAAATAACCACATGAATTGCAAAACAGTGTATCTATCCTCAAAGATGCTAATTCAGGTCCAGGGGGATCTAATCAACCTCTTTGTTGAAGTAAAGATAAAACTTTTTGACAGCGAATGCTATTCTGATAAAATGGAATTTTCAATTACTCTATGAACATCTGGCCCATGCTACAATTTCTGGAAGCCAGCAGCACATTGCTTTGCAATGTCACAAAATATTCTCCACTGAGAACTCCTTGTTTTGCCAAGAGATTAATTGAAATGAGTGTTTGAAAATGTAGTGAGGTGAGAGGTAAGTCTGGGGATAGATAAGGAGATAAAGCTGTTCAGTCACTGAATGATAATTTACTTAAAAGGCTAAAGAAAATGAAATCCCACACTGGTGATAGAGTGTTGAGGGTACAAACATCTTAATATACTTGTGGTTGACATTAATCTGTGCATGGGGTGAAGACTATGGGACATTTTCATAACAATTTTGTAGCAGTAGTCACATTAGGTGCATACCATCTTCTTCTGATTCATGTTTTACACGCAAATATGTTGAGCAATATTTAGGTGATAATCTTCATAAATAAGCAAATCAAGTAAAATGCAGAAGAACTTAACACTTTCCAAAATAAAGCACTGATTATCTTGCATTTGAGTATGTTTGGATGTGAAAAATAGATCAACATCACTGTAAATTTCTGTGCATTGCTTCTATTTGGTATCAATTAGCATGGGAAGGAAACCAACTCAGTGTTGTAGCGAACTCCAAACTAGGTGCATATTAGAGTAATTACAGTCATCTTTTCAGTCGATGAATTTATAATCAATGATTAAAATCATAAGGAATGAAATTGAGTGTGATCTGAAACAAATTACTTGTGCTTGGAACTAGTGTACAGTTCTGAGCTATGATCCCCACAAACTTCAGTTTCATACTCATATTGCACAGTTAAGCATAATGCAATAGCCACAGCACCATAAATGACGTTGCAAAAAAGGTGAGAGGAGATCAAGAGGTCTACTAACCCTAGCACTGCTCCTCTCAGAGAAACATTTGACTACAGAAAGAGTCAATCTGGTAATGCTTTCAATTACTCAACAAAACCATGAGCCACTGACATCTTTCTTCACCCTACTTGTCAATTTCAGCCATTTAAGGAGTCAATATTCTTATCTTCTCAAGAAGGTGGTAAATTCACTGAGTAAAATCAGATAGGGAAAGCACTGGTTAAGAGATGAGATTGTGACTCCCTAGCTCAGCATCAAATCACCTCATGAGCCAAGTCAGAAGATAAGCCTGCCTAACGTGACAACACTTAACGTGTTCTCAAGGTACTTTGAGACCAATTGAGAGATAATATTCTAAGCAGAACAGTGTGTCAAGAAAAAGCACGTGTTGAAAAATGTTCCATTATCTTCCTTTCTGGGAAGCCACAAGATCCACAGGACTGGGGACAAACCGAGATAAGCCATATTAATTCATAGACATGATGGATGACAAATAGACCTGGAATTCTGTAGCAACCAGTGAATTAAGCTCAGCAAGTTCACCCACCGCCTGCCCTGTTTTCAAACTCGTTAAAAGATGCCAGGGTTGAAAGTAAGGTAGACAGCAGAGGCTCTTAACATTCCTTTGTTGCGATTCTGACCCAGCTCACAAACATGTTTGTGGAAATATGTAATCAAAAACACAATCGAAACTCTCCAGTGACTAGGGTTTTGACCTTTAAATTTGAATGTCTTTTTAAAAGTATCCTACCTTCATTGAATATAGTGATTCTGGGGTTTCTATGCATAGGAAGAGTTTCATAGAAAAGCTACTGAAAACTATGACATTTGGCCCTATACTCAAGACAGAAAATCTCTCTGCCATTCACATTGAGCATTCTTATGCTGTAGCAAAGTTACAAAAATACTGAAGATACTTAGGGCAGTACAATGAAACCTAGGTAACCAATGTCTCTTGAACAGAATGAATCAAATATAATTTGTAGCTTTCTAAATATTGACAATACAATATGAGCCCATATAACAAGTTATTCCTGCCTCCTCAAGGAAAAATTATAGGTGCGTAAAGTCATTTTTAGTTTGAAATTCCTGGGATTTCTCATCAAACACATGTTCCCACATGTACAGAAAAAGAGGCAATGCTAATGTTAAAAGAAGAAATGTCATAAGGAAGACCCAGTTATGACATCCAATACTCCCCAATACAGTGATGTTAAGGTGACCTTTACTGATTACATTTGGTGTGATGTTGCAATAGTTCTCATAAACCAGAAGTATCAGATTCAGAACTTTGCCTGGGGAGTTCAAAATCAGGCATGTTTGGGGAATTCACCCAGTGAGTGCCTTTCAACTACTGAGCCGGAGGATAAAGGAAGATGCACTTCCATGACTGCAGGCTCGAGGCAATAAATGTTTAAAAATGTTAAACGGCTGAAAGAGCTATGATGATTGTCGGAGAAATATAATCAACCCAAGATAGCTGGTGACACAGTTCCTGTGGCAAGCCTGGAGATGATTTGGAATACCCCAGCTACATATCATTACAAAACCATCGGAAGTTGTGGGCTATCACAGATAAAGACTGAGATGCAAACAAGAGTCTAATTCCTTTTGCCACTCAAACTGGAAAGGGCCAGGTCAAGGGTTGGCTCAAAGTTTAGCCATTGTCAGAACAATAAAAAAATAGAAATAAAAGTATGTCAATCAAATACCAAAAAACAAAATGTAAAGATGTTGTCAAAATGGTATACAAAGAAAAAATGTATCTGCATGCATGGGTGTGTATGAAATCATCACTTTTTTATATAAAAGAGTCTTTGGATACTCTCACATATTTGTTTTCTAATAGTCTTGCTATTATTCAATCTACACAGTACGTAATGCAACCCATTTGTAAGAAACACTCAGAACATCTAGCTGCAACTCACTGATATTGTTTTCCTTGAGAAATGTGACAAAAAATTAAAACAGATGTTGGTCCAGTCAGGCATAAAGCGAGAATCAATTATGACTATTTTCTTTCCTGGAGTCATTTCATTTTAGAGAGCATCTAACAGAAAACCTTCCTGATCTCAATGAAGAGCGCATTTCTTTGAGATACACATGAGTAGAAAATGATACATATCTGTCTGCATATTCTGAGAATTAAATTGCCTCTGTTTCAGCTATAAAAATTTTTAATTTTTTATCCTCAGTCATATAGGAAGATTTCCCAGAAAGTATATTATCTCTGCAGATGTCATCACTCTCCAATTAAGGAAAGAAGCAGGGTACAACTGGTAGTGACCTCTCTATATTATAGACTTTGACACTTGAGTCTCCTGAGGAGGGAATGGATTAGACAATTTAATAGAATCTACAGTGGCTAATTTTTTCCATGAAAAAACATTTTGTTTTGTGAATCATGCATTTTTTGGATTCATTTAGAAGACCAAAACAAAAGAGTTTAATGATGTTTACAGTGAGATGGGACAGCTGACGACCAGCACGGAATCACCATATTTTGTTTTCTCATCTTTAAGACTTTTCGCAGTAGGACTTCCAGCTGAGCATGAGACTAGCTTTTCTCAAGACATAGCCAAGCATTCTGAAGCTTCACTGAGCCTAAACACCAAATTGAATTCATACTTCTTAATTGGGAAAGACAGGCTGTTTGCATACCATGTTTATATCAGTAAAATATTGAAAATGACATTTGTGCCCAAGTCCGTATGAACAATCTGCCTTAGCTGAACTCTGCTACTGTTTTCAGACCCTGGTTTCTGCCTATCACAGTTTTAAAGAGCACTTCTCTCTAAAAGTACTTGTGCCTGGATTTGTACACATAGATTCTCTTCACACATGGGGATGTGGCTCCTGACATGTGCTTTGTTACCCACTCATCTCACAATAACAGAAGGCTTTGTATTGACTCACTCACATTTTTTTAACCTGTCTCCCCTGTAACCAATGGCATGGGCTTCTGCAGTACCTCCATGGTTTTGGAATAGTAGTCCTGTAGGCAAAATGGAAAGTCTAGCATTTTCTATCCTCAGGAAAGACTATACAAAATCCATGGACAGAGAATAGTCTCTGGGGAAAGTTTGCTAGACTAGCAGAGAAATAAATCCCACCCCTCTGGTCTCATTAGAGTTGCATTCTATGCAATTTTATTGATCAGCTGAATCCATACACTATAGAATAACAGTCATATATTCCTGATGAGAAAGCATCTGCTTACTTCCTATGGGCAATTATTATTAAAACGAATGTGGATTCAGTCGCCTTAATTACCTTATAAAATTCCCCAACATTACATACGAAGGCAGACTTATCCTGATAGATGTTGTAACACCTCAAAGCTCTCTAGATGCTGTTAACACGTGAGCTAAGGGAATCCCTTCATAATAACATGTGCACTGCAGTAAAGTAGCACAACATGTCTAGACAGATTCTTGGTTCTTTGGAACACATAGTTCGACTTAACGTTGTCCATCCCTTACCATGGTCAGGCATCTGAGATCCCATGGAGGTCACACTGGTGTTCAGCACATCGTTCACAGCAGTATCACAGTACAGGCTCCTCTGGACGTCATGCTCGCTGTCAGTCTGGTCACTCTCCTCATGGCCACTGTCCTTCAGGCTGTTGCCCTCCAGGTCCTTGAAGGTGGAGCTGCTGGGTTGAAGAAAATATGTTAATTTACAACTGTGATAGATCTGATTTTTAAAATCTTTCCAAGCCAGGATGATGTCAGTTCTGTAAGGAGGCCAGCAGGAGCTAGAGTGTCCAAAAGGGAAAAAATATGGAGAAGAGACATTTCTGTGTGAAGGTAATACAACTTAACAATACAGAGAAGTTCTCAACATTGGATGTTGATAAAGCTAATTTTTTTTCATTTGCTTCTTTTTAGTGTTACACAACAGACAAGGAGGAACAAGACAAAAACCTCAAAGCACTTCTAAAGAATGTTAACATTGCAGTTTTTCTATTTCGATACAGTTAGAGTCAAATAGAAACAGCCAATGTTTTCTGAGAAATTACGGTTTATGAGTTACTGTTTTAAGAGATCAACATTAACTTTTTAAGCCGTTCATGCTGTACAAGAAAAAGAAGCTAATAATATTACTACTTGCAGATGATAACAGAGATATATAGAAGTTAAATAACTTGCCCAAAGTCACACTGCTGGGGAAAAAAGTATAGAACATGTAAGATCAACCCTTGCTTGTCAAGTTTCAGTGCTTAAAATCTTAACTATTATGAAAATTGCTTCTCTGGAGATATCTAATAATCATCAACTATAAAAAGCAAAAATGGCAGAACTTGAAATAGTGTAATTAAAATTAAAAGGATGATCAAGGTTGGAGAAACCAGGTCAGTTTCAGTTTCCAATTTGTTTGATTGCTTGCTTTGTTTTTAAGACAGGGTCTCATTCTGTACACCAGGTTGACCTGGAACTTGATACATAGCCCACACTAGTCTTTGAACTTGGGATAAGCCCCTTCATCAGCCTCCTCCTGCATCCTGGGATTACAAACCTAAACTGCAATACCACATGTCTCCGCTGCCAGTTCTGAGCAAGAAATGGCAGAGGAACCAATTCAAAGAAAAGGAGAACTGGCAGTAGCTGAGGAAACCGTTGGTGCATGGAATGTGTTTGGGATAGTTTTATGTGTCTACTTGACTGGACCAAGGGTAATGCAGGTAGCCAGTTAAGCCTTATTTAGGAATGGGTCTTTGAGTGAGTTGGCTGATTGAAGAACTGAATAAAGCATGTATCTTTTCCCAGTATTGGTGGGACTCATCCAATCCATTGAAGAAGACCTGAAAAGAACAATAGGCAAAATGTTGAATATTCTTTCTGCTTGACATCAATATTCTTCCATATTCAGTCCTCCTCATTTCCAGACTTTCAGGCTCAGACTGGGATCTCTACAGCTGGGTCTCTAATTCTCAGGCTTTCAATTATACCATCATCTTCTCTGACCTTCTAGCTTATTGGTGACAGAGCACAGAAATTCTAAATATTCCACAACTGCATGTATCAACATCTTAAACTGCATGAGTCACACCAACATTCACAGACCAGCCCCTCAGAGACATAAGAACATTCTCTATGTATGGTAATGAGCTATACAATGAACACAAGGATACACTGTCACACTGCACGTTTGTCCTAAAGGAAGCACACAGAAAATTAACACTGATCTACCTAGATGTTGAATCCTTGGTGGTATAAGCATAAAAAGTGAAAGCTCAAAAGAGCAGTAACTGGAAAGCAATGATTATAACAAAATGAAGACTTTGGTGATGGAAAGCACTATCCTGTTAGTTAATTACTTCAGAAAATATATCTGAGCATCAATGTCACTAAAATCCAGTCACTCAACAATCCTAGTTCACTCAATTCCTCCAAATTATGTCACAGAGATAACTCAGTCCTATCCACCTACCAGAATGCATATCTATTTAAGAAAATCCTACAGTTCTTTCATGATCAAAAAGACCAATTGGAAACTTATGATTTAAAAGTGTTTCACCATTTCCAGCTTCATGGCACAGACTCTATGGCTTCCTGTATATACTAATTCAAAGTTTAAATAGATTCAAAGTTTATATTTTAGAAACAAAAATTGGCCCTGCCTACAAGCACTCATATACCTCAAGAGAGAACAAATGACCTGCCTAGATGATATTACAGGCTGCTCCATTCTATAACAAATATTAGCTTTTCAACCTATATCATCTGGTTCTGAAACATAATGAAAAGTTCTTTAAATCCTCAGCACAAAAACTGCCATGTTAAGCCAAAGATCTCAAGTCTAAATTGAATGCATTTTAGCAGTTGCCAAAATTTGCTTGAGATATATGATGGCGAATGAAATAGTCTAAAGACAAATGTAATTGGCCATCCCTTAGAATAGAGCATCTTAATCTTGGCACTGTTGAATTTTTAGGTCACATAATTCTTGGTTGTGTACGATCTGTGCATCATGAGATGTTTAATAGGCCTATTGGCCTTTGCCTATTAGATGCCAGTGATGACCACCACCAAGTTTAACAATGAAAAATCTCCTCAGGGAGACAGGGCCAAATCACCCTCAGTTAGAACAACTGTGATACATTTTTTTTCACCAGTATTCTTGTAATATAGCGTGCAAGAGAAAGCACTGAACTTGGAGTCATTAGGGCAAGTGATAACCCAAAATCTGCCACTTTGTTTCTGTGGCTCTGGGCTCCATATCTAATCCTCACAAGACCATTCTGAGGACTCATGAGATACTTTGCAGGAAGAGCCAAATAGAAATAGATGTTCAATGAAATTATTCTTATTTAATATGATCATTATTCTGTATTATAATGCCTCATTCACATTACAATTAAACAGTATGGCTATGGTAATTTATGAAATTGGTATAAGAATTTTATATTTATTTAATGAATGCTCCTGTCTTCTGTAAACAACTGTCAGCCATTGTCCATTATTCTGTTTCTCCTAAAATCAGGAACAGAGAACTATCTCTCCTGTCAAATATGTATCCTTGCTTTATTGAATGATAAAAACTATATGACCTAATACACTTTTTTTGACTTTTCAAAATCGTCAAGCTAAACATAATGTTTAATTGCACTGAGTTATCTCATCTCTCTGGAATCTGGTAATTTCTATCTCACTTCTCCTAATTGGTTTGAGATATGACTTTCAAAAATTTGGTCTTCTATTTTATATGCATCAGAATACTGCAATATACCTGGGGGATTTGGGGGTATTTTGCTTGATTGTTTTTTTGTTTGTTTGTTTCAGGTTTAAAAAGGCATGAAATATTAAAACTGTGAAGGATTAGCTACTAGGATCTAAGGAACTGCTGGTGTGAGCAAGAGAAGAAAAATCAAAGGTATGGCCACCACCTTCTCATACCTCAAAACAGTTAACTCATTTAAAGATCAGTTTGCCCATCTGACAAACAAAGTACCGGTTACTGTGATCTTGTAAGGACATTTAGTAGCTTAATGGATGAATTTGTGTAAGGCAGTTTAAGAACCAGTGAGCAACATGCTGCAAACAGTAAAACAGCCTGGTAAATGGCTACTCTCCCAAAACAAATAACAATTTATACCAGGCATAAAAAACGCTGATTTCACTAGCTTTATTACCTGTGTACCTCTTGGGAGATGAGAGACTTGTAAAACAACTTTTGTGGGACAATAAATTAGGGGCATCTGTTTCCAATGGTATTGTAAATGCAAACGTTTCTATTACTGCTCTGGTGGCCAGCAGAGGTAGAAGTTTATTTGAAAACACCTATAACAGGGTTCTATACACAAGAGTTTGTCTACATAGGCTTGAAAAAAGAATATTACACTAATACTAATACTATAATACTTTTGCAAAAGATAGATGAATCTGAAAAGATGAAGGTCATATCTCCAATAGGCGATCCCACGTACCTAGAGAATGTCATTTGCAATTAAGCAGAGAAAGTCAAAAGAGTATTGTAACTGGCTTTAAAAAATATAATCCAGAGTGTTTTCTGGACCACCTCTGTCATTAATCACCTTGAAACCTGTTAAAATTGAAGCTGCTCTAAAGCTGGAGTTAAGGACTGCCTTTATCAATATACAATATTGTTCAGAAATTGTTGTTTTCAAAGAAAGTTTACTGCTGTTTTATTTAAGTAGGAAAAATTAGGATTTTCCTTCCACTCCTTACTCATGGTTATCTGAAAAAAGATGTACCAAATACTTACTATATACATGGCACCATAGCAGACGCTACAGAACTCTGGGACAGTTTTGTTGGTAAGGAAAACCCCCATGCATAGCTTAGAAGTCAGGGCTCATTTTCCTCTCTAAACTGCTTCTGATGTGTTGCTCAATTGCTATTGTGTTTTCTTTGAGCTACAGCCTCGTGTTCTGCTTGGTATGGCTCCAAAAGCACCACAGGAGTAGATATTAGCCAGCAGTGCAGAGAGCAAAATTGAGGAAAGAATGTTGCAGCCGGGGCAAAGTGGCACTTCTGGCCTTTCTTACTTTGAGACGATAGCAAAGATACAAACATGGTGGGAATAAAAATTACACTCTGAAAAAAATTCCCAACTTACTTATTTTGCTAAGCTGGACTTCTCTCAGAAACTACCTTGGGTATATCTTCAGATTGCATATAATGTTATAAAAAATACTTTGGAGCTATAATGTTGGAATTCCTCCACACAGAAAATTTTGGGGAATATGCCATAGACCTTCTTTGTCCCTTCCAGATGCAGTCCTCATACTTTTAAATTTTGATTCATGTCTATAAAACCTTGTTCCCCTTTGGAGTTCTATTGAAATTACCCCTGTGGTTGCCAATAACAGAATATAAGACAATAGAAGATGGATGTTAAGGTACTGACTTTCCTAGGAAATCACTTCATCATGACCACAGCCCCCAAATGACCAGAAGTCATTCTTACTCCTCCCATGTTTCTCTTGATAAGTTTTTCAGTAGTGTTTTCAACTCCTCTGTTCTTATACCAGAAAAATGAAATACATTTCCCCATCATTTTACAGTTTCGTATAGAAACCCTGACTGCTACAAGAAAGGGCCAGGGATGCCCAGTGCTCAGCTACCAAAGGTAGCCAGCTGTAAAAGAATAAAGTATCTGTATAAGAGTCAGGCGAAGAAAGTTCAAAACAGCATTGCAGGAAATGTCTGTGGATAATTAGAAATTGAATATCAGGTGAGAAAAATGTATAGGAAACAAATCAAAGCTCAGTTAGGCTGAGCTTTTCCTGGCATTTTAAAAAATCAGAGATTTGCTAATAAAATTAAGACTGATGAAAAGATTTAGAATTTCCTGTCCAAAAGTTTTTTTTTTTTCCAAACATGAGTCTTGAAGAAAACATATACACCTCTTAAACATCTTGGGGAGCCCGATGATCACTCTTCCCCTCCCTGGGGATCTGTGCTGTGTTAGTCACCACTGTCATTTCCTACCAATTTTACACTTGCAATGGTTAACCTCTCGAAAAGGATAACACACAGAATAGCCTGTATCTTTCTAGGGATTGGCATTTTTCTAAATGCGCCTTTCCCCATAAATTCTAAGACCTTAAACGCATCCCAAAACTATCCCAGTTCTATGAAAAGAAACTGACAAAACTGTGTGTGTTCCCCAAGCTTTCGGATGTTTCCTCTTAATCAGGTGATTCCAGGTAAATAAACTACTGTCTTTGATTTCAGGCCACATCTGGAGATATTTCCTCTAAGAGCTCGCTCAGTTCAGGATGTAGCTTTTGTGCGCATGTGTGTATAAAAAAAAATACATGTAAAGTAATTAATCAAAATCACAGGTTTCCAGTGAGTCTCAAAGCTGTCGTGGAAATACATGTATCCCCAAAGCTAAATGCTTTAACATAAGTCTTTATCTCATAAGTCTGTCTTGTAAGTTGGATATTTGAAGCTGATCTAAGATGTGCAGGTCCCCAGGAGTCCTAGCCTTCTACTAGGCTATGAAAATCAGACTCATGTTATCAGTTTAAACTAGTCAGAGAATTTCCAGGTACCCAGAACGAGCTAGCTCCAGAGACTTGTAAAGATCAAGCAAGCCACTGTTTTTACCAGTTCAAAAAGAAGCTCTGAAAATAGCAGTCCTGAAACAGAAAACAAAGCAGTATTTTCCCGCAAAGCCCCTAATCAGTACATATAAATGGGCTTTTCCTTTCTTCCTAAAATAAATAACTTAGATAATTTTCAATTCTTTGCCTTTTGTTTAGAGCATTCTTCCCAACAACTCAAAAATTTTCTAAATTATTCTGTGACTGATAATACAAGGATAGCCATTTTTAGGATGACTAATGATCATCACTTAAGGTTACAAGCTATCCCTAGCCAATATAAACGAATCTACCTTAGTTTTGGGGGTTACTGCAGCATCGTAAATTAAATTAGATGTGAATTCAAGTTTCTTATACTACAAACAAGGATTGGGTTTTTGCTTTGAATCCCATGCTTACAGCGATATAAATTTATGGGATTACAGCCAGCAAAATAATAGAATTTTCAGATCTTTTCCACTACAGCTCTAATACAGCCTGTTTGCTCCTCTGCTTTATTGCTATTATTTTAACAAACATACCCAGTGTTCAATTTTAACTGCAGAATTACCACTGAACCATTCAAGAGGCTAGTTACATGAAACAACAATAAAGGCATCATCGGAATGGTCAGCTTCTGGGATACTTTTGCACACAGCGTTCTCTCCTTTGCTTAGTTCTACCTCCAGTGAAGCTTTTATCCTCCTCCCAATACCAAGAATTTAGGGCTTGCCATAGCAGGTGGAATCTTTTCAATACTAGCCTCCGCTTTGTACTCAAACTATAACTAAGTTGTAAGCAACCAATCATATAAATTTTAGATTTCCACCAAAACATTTCAGAATGCTTTGACAAGTAATAAATTGGAAATTTTTCTTTTCCTCTCTCATCTAGGAAGCATTATAAAAGATATTTCATCTGTCATTTAAATATCTTTAAACTTTAAAGCTGTCAAAATAATAACAACCTCAGAACATACTACAAGCTCCACAAGAAAACAAAAGTTGAGGCTTCCTAATATTTACACTGAGTGGCAACAAAAGTTTGGATATTAGTATGATTTTGAAAGTTTTCTAATTTTTCTAATCTTTCTAATATTGATTCCAAAAATCACCAGTAAAATGTTTTATGCCATCCCAATTTTATTTTTATTTTTGTACATGTTTTGGTGGAAATAAATATTGATTCTCTTTGTGTGAGAGAATTAGCAGTGATCCTTACTTTCTATGTTTTCTCTATATTTCCTACACTTCCTAGCATAAGCACATAGGCACTCATTGTAAAAGTCAAAATGGTATAATTTTTAAAAATTAATGGTTTGGGGTTTCTTAATATTAAATCAAGCTAAGCAGTAGGAATGTGAAAGCAAACCAACATACCTTTTGATTAAATGGGCACGGCTGTTCACGTAGTTAGAGTCAAAGGAATAGTTTTCAGTCTGCAATGAGAAAGAAAAAGATTAAAAAATGATTCACAATAAGAGTCCAAATGTTCTACTTAAAAGGATTATTTTACAGTGCAAAGCAGTAATGGGGCCTCCAAGGGCCTCCAAAAGCAGCATCTTACTCCTGCAGGACAGGGTGGACTTGATACAAACATTCTCTAGAATATGGCTGGCTACTGACCATGTAACCACTTAGAGACAAGAGACAGTATGACTCACAATCGCTACAGAAACTAATTGCTCCCAATTCCCCAGTAGAGACCATTTTATGCCCATCAAATTGACTATAAGTTCAAAGGTATTTTTATTAGAAGTAGATAATTAACATGTTAAAATATTTATTCCAAAGATATGGAAATGCAGCAAGGTAATCCCCTACTGTGGGTTTAAACGCTGCACTTCCCTTTGTTTTAAGACTTTTGCTTAGCATCAGTTACACAAGATGGCTTTCATTTTATCACAGATATAAAGGCAAACAAGTGTTATGCCCAAAACAGGGTAAAAAGCAGTCCACATGGGGTACCAAAGCCTTTCATGTAGCATGAAGTTTGCAAGCAAACCCCTGTCTCAGTTCCTATCATTAAATCTCTACTGTGTAATCTGGTTACAGTAGCTAGCTGGAGCAAGGGCTTTACAAAAGCAAGTGCAGGGTACCTGAAAGATGAAAGAGATGGGAAAACAGCTTTTGAGCACAGGGAGTCTGGACAGTTTGAAGGGGGGCAGTCTTAGAATGGATAGAAGCCAAGAACACAGCTATACTAAAGCCAGTGTCCTAGAAAACATGATCGTACACCCAATGTTAAAAGCACCGCTCTTGTTGAACCTTTGTATGAACTCCAAATGCCCAAACACATCTCTTCCCTCATCCTGCCATTCAGCTATTCCCACCATTCTTTAGCGGCCTTCTGCAATCACTTCAACTGGAAGTGCCTGGAAATGGAAATACAATAGCTGTCTAGAGAACAAAATAGCAGATTCTTTTCAGATGACTACCTGTCAGACATTGACTGCCCTAGGCTCTTAGATGCAATCCTGACATTCAAAGATTCACAGTTTGATAGAGGAGAAAATGAGGCAGGTAATAGCAGACCCAGCTACCACACGGACACTAAATAGCCAACCGTCAGGGGAAGGGCCCTACATACCTAGAAAGTACGCAGGAAGCTGGCACTAACTAGTTGGTAGGATAAAAGGAGAGAGAACTGAGAAGGAAATAAAAACCCAACAGTGTCCAGTACTTACTCGCATATGTCCATGTTTCCACATGGCCCTCACTTGAAGACAGACTGGATAATGTCTATTTACACTGCTTCTGTCTAAATGTTTAGATACCCTTTAGTGTAAATAAAATAACAAGTAACTTCTGATGGTATTGGAAGAAATAGTTCCAAAGAATAAAAAAATAAAATAAAATAAAAATGGTCAGTCCATTTTTTCTGTATTGATCTGTAAGTGAATGCTGAGATTGTGACATAAATAATTAGTGAAGATATGTGTTGAAAATATGACCTTTGTATTTGCTATAATAACTTATTCAGAAGTTCCTTAACCAAGAAACATTTGATCTAACTTTTTTTTACCAACACAATGGGCAAAATGGTGTTTAAGTGTGGGTTGTTTTATTATATTCACTGCAATACTCAATTTAACAAGTTGTCCCCTGCTAAAAATCATGGTTCCCTATCAAAATAGGAGACGGACTGAGCACTCAGTGATTTACTTCTTTGTATCATTAAACAATCTTTGCTAAATTTAACTTAATTTTCTGTGCCTCAGTTTCCTTCTGTGCGAAGTACAATAGGAACATGAATTCAAAAGAGAAATTCAACAGCATTTATCAGTGCTCACGATGAGATTTCACGCCAACACTGATTTCTATGGAGCTTGACATCACAAGTAAAAACAGAAATTTGCTTCATTCTTGTAAAGAAACAAGTGCCTGGCCTGTCCAAACTTACTGAATCTTGACAAGAAACGTGGCAGAAAAAAAATACATAGATACACAAAGCACTAGAAAAAAAAAGAAAAGTAGAAGGTATTGATTGGGCTGGCAGAAAAATCAGGAACACCATACCAAGTTACCATCACACTAAGAAAAACATGTTTTCCAGCAGAATATTTTGCATGTGTGTGCAGACGAAGGCATTTAAATCTTTGTGCATTGTGATGTCCTGACCTCTACACACCATGCAAGAACCACATGTTCGAAAAGAGAAGAATAATCGTGCAAATGTTCGCTCTGACGACTGTACTATTTTTGACTCCTTAGGGAATAATCTATCTTATCATGAGGTATCCCACTCACTGTCAATGGGTTAGTAGTAGAGAAGTCTAGAAGTCCTGGTCATAATGACCTTAACAATTCTTCCCACTCACCAAGGTTCACAAATTGGCTAATCATTGGCAGATGTCACAGGTATGATATGACATTCAAGGTAGAAAAATAACATTGAACTTTATCATCTTCCTCTATCTTCTCTCTTCTTCAAACTTAATGAGTAAGCTTCCCGGTCTTGTGAATTCTGAACTCCAAATGAGGCTGTTCCATTATGCAAAGCAGCAGATGGACCATGCTGCATCCTCATAAAACAGATTCTAGAATCAACTTTCTGAGAATGAATGGAGCTATTCCACCTCTTTGCCTTTACAGTTAGTTTCAGTCCCTAAAGAAGTAGCTTGGTTGCAATTACACGAACAATCTATGCAACAGAATTCTTCACACGTGAACAGAATCCACTATTCTGGCTTAAGTACTACATTCAGAACAACTGAGTTAGCTGGCCATGAAGGCTTATTATATTACGTATCTACATTTATTAGCATCAAGAATTCTAGATCAGAGTGAGGAGACATCTTAGTATACTGTACAAGCATGAAGACTGGACTCTGCATGCCCTGGGCCCACATAAAAGCCAAGCATGAGCCTGGCAGCCCACCTGTAATCCTTTGGGAGGCAGAAACTGAGAATAACCAGATCATGCTAACTAGCCAGACTAGCTGAAACCATGAGTTCCAGGTACAGTGAGGAGCATGTCTCAATGCATAATAAGGTAGAGAGTGACTAATAAAAATACTTGACATCAACCTCAGGTCTATATGCACGTGCAAACCTACCACACACACACATATATGTGTACAAAAGACATTCTGTCTCAGACTGAGTCCAGGTGTGTACTCAATTCCAATTCTTGTGCACTGAAGAATGGATTTTTCCTCATCTGGTGAAGTGAAGAGTGATACTGCGAGCACCCTGAGAAACAAACCATCTTGTCTTAATGAACTGGAACAGCTTGCACATCTTAAATGAGTGTTTCCCAGCCCCACGTGCATAGCAGAATCATCTCAGGAACCTTTTAGAAAGTACAATCTACCAAAAATGCTGAGCTAATTGGCCTGGAATCCATGCTACATTTAAAGTTTCCCTGGTAAGGTGAATGCACCTCCATGGTGAAGTCCAAATGTCATAAACAAAGAACTAGTTACAGGCTTTGGCTAAATGCCCCATGTTTGCTCATACAAGCCAACTGGCATATTGTGCTATCAGTTGATCATATGATAGCACTTCTGTAAGTTTATCAGTCAAGGTGATCCTAATGTAGGACAAAGAACCATAGAAGGAACAGACTTTTCAAGAAATAATAATAGAGTTTTACTTTTGTGTGTAAATATATTACCTCCTGGTTGGTCTTTTTTAATCAAAATTTACTTGACATTATTCCAGTCCCATATCTAAGAATTCTAAATGGCAAGTAACATGAAACATTTGAAAAAGAAATTTTTCTCTAAATGTCACATTAATTTCACTAGGAAATGTCCCCATCTCTAATGAGACAGCCAGGTTAACACAGAAACACCGCAAGAGACAAGAACAACATTTGTTTCTGAAAACGTAATTTTGACATTAAAATTGGGTCAAAAGCAAACTTTAATTTCTAGACTTGATGGGAAATATGTCACTTTTAAAATCACCTAGTACTCTCACAAATTCTTTTTCTAACTAGAAGCATTTTTTCCCTTAGAAATTCACCAAGAGGAGACTTCTTGGTCTTGAGCAAGTAAAACTTGGTTTTCCTACAGATCTTAAAAAATGAGTATTTCTAGATAGCTGGGATGTCCAGAGGGTAGAGATTTTCCCTTTAAAGAACTGAAACTACCTTACACTTTAACTTTTCTTGCTTGTTTCTGAAATGTATCACCAATTTTTTTGTATAATGTAAAAAAAATAAATCTTTTTTTGGTTATTTGTGACTACCCATCTAAACATAAAATACTATGCAAGATTAAATTGTACCTTCAATGACACCCGAAATACAATTTGGGGTGGCTCACAGCTTTAACATAAAAGGGAACCCTAAGTGTTGCTGCTTTTTCAGGACCCTTTTGCCATCTTATCTTGGATGCTTTTACTCTACTGTGTTCTTGGAAACCATAAAATTATATGTCTGAGCATAGTCTAGATAATGAGCTAATAAGTTCTGAGTAGAGAGCACGGAGATAGACAGGGTCTAAAATAGAAATTACATGGCCTTCAATATATGGACTTTTGTGCAGTATTTTGGGCTTTGTGGTTTTTATTTTGCCTGCTTAGGTACTTTCTTTGTTTGCTACTTTCTTTCCTCAGCATCCTTCTGGATATGTGAAATGTGGAGTGAGACTTTGGGGGTGGGTAATATGTTATGTTTCCATGTTAATAAGTCTGGCACATCAGAAGTCAACTACTTCCACTTTGTCAGGCCCTCAAGGAAGCAGAGAATGCCCTACTTTAATTGTCATTTTGTATTACTTTTCCAGTTCACTGAATTGTGCCCTAGTCTCTGGAAGAGGGACTGCAGCTCTCGCAACACCACATTTATCACTAGAAGAGACTTAAACCCTAAGGAGAAAGAAGGCCAATGAATGCAAATATCCAGAACTAGACTCTTTGCCCAGTGGCACAAATCCCCAGGCCACTACAACAAGCTAGAAAAAGGTTTCAGACACTTGAGTTAAAACAG